CGTAGCATAGGGCTTGGGGACTATTTTGAATACTCAAAGCAAAGGAAAAGATCAGCTAGCCAGAATTAGCATTCCTATTCTAATTTATCAACATTCATTCACACAAGGATTGCTAATTCCCCTGCCCATAGAAACAAGGTCACCAAAATTGGCCACATCTTCTAAAACTCACCTCATGTCAGATGGTCAGATCAGAATATTTTATGTATTCAAGCCCAACACCAGCTAAAACGTTTTTTTCTAGTTTTTCAGTATGAAATGGTTAGAACCTCTCTCAACGTTTTATTGGTATCTCCATTTGGGAGCCAGGTGGGACCGAGGATCAGGTGAGTATGTCTTCTTTATTGCCAGCCTCTAGACCAAAATGAGCAAACCCTTGCAATGCACTGTGAGGGTTAATTCTGTTCAATTCTGTTCATTCCTTGAGTTCCTCTTTACCAGGTGTCAAACAAAACAGGATGTTATAGTGTATCTCTTGGCAAAATCTTGTTTTAACATAATTCACTATGTGAACTAATCCAATGCTTACACTTTCTATGGAGAAGAAGGAAGAATCACGTGTGCTACAGTGACAAGTAGGTAAGAATCACAGTGATTGCCAGTTCTAGAATAAATAATTACAGGACAAGTAGATATCTCCTTGCTCATCATTCTCAGAAAACTATCTGCCTCTCTATGGGTAATCGTAGTGTGAGATTACTGCAAAAAGCTACACTTATGTTTAATGCTCTACCACTGCAGTTTCCACAAGTATGTTGTAGCTACTTACTGAAAACAAAGCACCGTCCCCAGGGGCTGAAAAAAGGTGTTTTGCATAGAAAATGGTTTATTGATCCTGAAAATCAATTAGAATGAGGAATTGCAGTGCAAACTATCTAGAGCAGCCGTGTGGTATTTAGATGATAGTAGCAAATGTAAATATACTATAATAGATAAAGGTTAGAATGGGTTTATCATAATAATAAACATATTTTCTGTTTCAATATGTTTTATTATATAAGACGGTAACAATAGTTTATATAGCATTCACACTCTGCCACAGCCAACACGGAATGGTACAAGAGGTATACAAATCTTAAGGCAAGAAGAACTAGCTATATACAAGCCAGTATATAATAGAAGCTTACATTTGGTCATTACCTGAGAATTAACTTTCCAGGAAAAACATTGAGAAAGTTTGGACGCCTTTGGGATGCCTTAGATCCCTTCTTTAGGCTTTATACACTGAGTGGCCAGTTTATTATGACCACCTCACGTTTGTAGGCAAATGAGCTATAATTAGCTATAATTTTGCGCTGAAGTTGCTAGAGGGCCAGACCATTATAAATAGGGAAGCAGGTTGTTTACCACGACAGTGGTAAACAGAGATAATTTTCTGAAGATATGGATAAACAACGCGATTTAACAGCCTTTGAGCGTGGGATGATTGTTGGCGCTCAAGCCATGGAGCGAGTATCAGCGAAACAGCAGAATTCGTTGAATGTTCAAGAGCAGCTGTTGTTAAAGTGTTTAAAGACTGGACTGTCAGCCGAAAATCTATCTGAACGTGCGAATTGTGGCCGTCAGCGACTAGTCATTGTTAGGGCAGAACGGAGATTGACAAGACTGGTACAAGACAACAGAAGGGCAACAGTGCAGTGTCAGATTCCTCGCATCACCTTTCAACATCTCGTGGAGTCACGAGGCGGCCCAACTAAGTCATCTCGTGGCCCAACGAAGTACTGATGGGGTGGTCATATATAATCTGGCCACTCAGTGTACAATTCTGAAAATGGCTCTGAAACCCACATATTTTATATACAGATTTACAAGGATAAAGATTGAAACATAGATTTTAAAGCGACACTAAACTCAGGAGTTAAATATTAAAAATGCATTCAAGTAACTTAACTAATAACAAAAATGTATCTTATTTGTGTATCACTCAGCTGTAGATCCTCAAATTATCTCTGAATTGGTGCTGACACTTCCTTCTGGAGGGTGGCTACTTATGTTCCCCATGGTCCCTGTGTGTGTTGTAGTCACCGCTCCAAGCTCACTCCCGTGATGGACTTCAATCTCACATTGGTTTGCTAATTTGTATTGAGATTGTAATCCATCACGGGATCGATCTTGGAGTGGTGGCTACTTTACAACACACATAGGGGCCATGGGGAACAAAAGAAGCCAACCTCCACAAGGAAGTACAGTGTCAGCACAAATTCAGAGATGATTTGAGGATCTACAGCTGAGTGATACACAAATAAGATACATTTTTGATAATAGTTAATAGTCCAAGCAAACTTGTCACCTCAGTGAGGATGAGGTGACAAGTTTGAGAGTCTTCTTTAAATGTCAATACACCTTTGACCAAAGGCTTGATAAAAAATAGGCTTTATTGTGAGAAGTCTTCACAACATGGAGCTCGTAGGTTATTTTTGCACACAGTATCAGGTATAACACATTTGTAGATCTGCAGCAAAACGAACTCTGTACTTTGTACTCCTACTGTAATCACTGTACTGGTACCCAATCAGTTCCTATGTATATGTGTTCACGTTTCACATCTCTTTTGCATGCAGGGAGAAGTTCTATTTAGTATTAGGCCGTGTAGGGAACTTCTCGCAATAAGCTGTCTTAGATTGAGTGGTTGTCAATATGCTAGGAGAGGTGGCTTCATTAATATTCCCAAAGTCTATCTTCTTCGTGCAGAGGCTGAAGCTCTTTTGTGATCTATCTTGGATCTTCTAGACTTGGGTTGTAGTTTTAGTCTATTCTTTTCAGTCTGTTTATAGTTTAGGAGACTGGTTCTGGGGATATTAAATTTTTTCTGGTCTGCGTGTTGGTTGTCACGTGCTTCTATCCCTGTTTTATGAAATTCCTCCTGAGGTGTTCCAGTTGGGTATGTCTGTCTGAGGTGTGTGAACAGATCCGATTGTATCTTATGGCCTGAATATAGATGACAGATTTTTTTATGTACCTGTGTGTGAAAGCTATCATGACTGAGGTATGTGGGACAGTCTGTGGGTTTTCTGTAGATGAATGTTTGCAAACATGTTCATTGAATACCTATTGTAGTGTCTAGGAAGTTTTTTTTAGTCCGTGAGTGGTTTAATTTAGATCTAATTGTGGGGTGGAAGTTGTAGTTCCTGTGAAATCCTCCTCACTTACACTACATATAATTAAAATATCTTCAATGAAGCAAAAGTAGACCATTGGGAGTGTGCATATATGCACATATAAATCTAAATGTATAGTTAATGAGCCTAGGGGAAGGCTGGGGGAGCAGGTTTCACTAATGGATTCTATAGAATAGGTAAAGGAAACAGATAAATAGACCAAGGGTAAGCAGTAAGACAGTGTGAGGATAGATCAGCAATTAGTCTGAGGAGGTCATTGAGTTGTTGAGGCAGCAGTGTGCTCAATTGAAGAGAGTGCAAAGTGACAAAGATAACAGACCTTCACAAGACATATGTTTTTCAGAGTGCAGTTGGCTGATAGAGCAAGGGAGAACATTACAGAGTATGGAGTGTGTCCTCCATAGGTGCAGAGCATGAAGTCTTGGATGTTAGTGTGGGAGGTGGTGGACAGGGAGGATGCTTGGAGCAGGACATTACATACAGATCTGAAAGCATGCAAAGTGTATACAAGGTCAAGGGCAGGGCTGGATAAGGAGCATGACGGGCCTGGTGCTGAGGATTTCGGTGCATTGATATCCCCACTCGTGGGTTCTCAGTTTACCCCGTCAGGAGTGTATGAATGCATATGTGTGTTTTGACAATGTTGTCAAAGGGTTTTTAAAACTTGGTGTCGGGATGTGGTGAAGTACTATTTCAAGTTCAATTATATATGTCCAAATAAATGAATTTATATTTTTTCTATATACGGTCTGGAAGTAACTTTATTGGTCTGCACATTGAACTAAGAACTACCACTGGCCCCAAGTTGTAGAGTGACTAAAAATCTCAGCAATTCATTACACAGCAATGCAGAATACCATCAGCTGTAGAGGACTACAAATCCTAGCAGTAAATTATACAGCAATGCAGAATAATACCACCAACTATAGATGACTAAAAATCAGAGCAATAAATTACACAGCAATGCAGAATACAGCCAACTATAGAGGAGTGCAAATCCCAGTAATGCATTACACAGCAATTCAGAATACCACCAACTATAGAGGACTACAAATCCCAGCAATACATTATAAAGCAATGCAGAGTGGCACCAGCTTTAGAGGACTACAAATCCCAGCAATACATTGTTAAGCAATGCAGAATACCACCATCTATAGAGCACTGAAAAATTCCAGCAATACATTATACAGCAATGCAAAATACTATGAAGCTACATACTCTGTGTTGCTCCGAGTTCATGGCCTGATGTCTCCAGGGTCTCAGGTGGGCTGTGCGGGGTTCCAAGTTGGCTGTGCAGGCTCTCAGGAGACTGTTCAGTGCGGCTTTCAGTTGGTCAGTGCAGGCTCACAGCAGGCCAGTGTGGGCTCTTGGTGGTTGGTGAGAGCTCCAGATTGTCAGTGCTGTCTCTAGGTGGTCAGTACGGGCTCTTGGGGGTCAGTGCGGGCTCTTGGTGGTCAGCGCGGGCTCTTGGTGGTCAGCGCGGGCTCTTGGTGGTCAGCGCAGGCTCTAGGTGGTCAGTGCAGGCTCCAGGTGGTCAGTGTGGGCTCTTGCTAGTCACTGGCTCTCTATTCAGGTGGTGACCGGCTGCAATCAGGCAGTGGCGGCCCTCTATTTAGGCATGATAGCGCGCTGCTTGCTGGGGCCTCTTGAAGCCCTAGTGAGGAACGAGCGGCCCCTCTAATATGCCTAAATAGAAGGCCGCCGCTGCCTGATCAGTATGCCCGATGGCAATCCGGGCCAGTGGCCGTCCAAAATCAGGCAGCGGCAGTCCTCTATTCAGGCATATTAGAGGGCTGCTCTCTGTGGCCTCTTGGAGTCCTAGTGAGGAGCGAGCGGCCCTCTAATATGTCTGAATAGAGTGCCGCCTCTGCCATGTTGCAGCCGGTCACCTGCCCCATCGGGCATAGCGAGGCGATCCAGGTCAGATGGCAAGGCCTATTTGCAGGGGCGGGCCTGGAGCGGCAGGTCCAGATTTCTAACAGGTCCAGGATTCTACCAGAATTATGGTACAATCCTGCGGCCCGGGTCCTAACAGGCCATGGATCAATACCCTGCCCTAAAGTGATAACATTGTTGTAAACTGTAAAGGTTCAGACAGAATAGTTGCATATATGTGTTTGATTGTTGTCATCTACAATTCATTCAAAAATAATATAAAGACATAACAGCAGTAAAGCTATGGATCGTATTCTCATTTACGTCCAGATGTATTTAGAGGTATGCTCTGATATTTTTTGTTAATGGCTGATTTACAGACTAATTGGTAAATATCTGAGCAATAGAGACAAGTTTTGTGTACCTATGTTTAGATGTAATATGTAATTACCTAGAAATACTACGTTCATTAATGCTCGGTGGTAGCTTTTAGCATCTTTAATTATGCATTTCCTATTAATTCCAGTGTGCACAAATACAGATTTAAGGTGTGAAAAGGCGTTTTATTATATCTTTTGTTTCTTGAGGTAGTAAGCACACACAACCCCTAATATGCTATCTTTTCTTTTGCTTCTACAGGACAGCACACCACAAGTGACCCTGACATTGGAAGGAGTGTGGATGCCAAACTTCTTGTCACTTTTGTCTCCTCCCAGAATTCTGGTCTCCTCTTCCTTGCAACTGGAACAAGCCAATATCTGCTACTGGAACTGACCAATGGAACCTTGAGGGTAAGGCTAAACCTCCTTGAACTGATATATGAGAGGGCGAATGACCCTGAAAGAAACCATAATAATAGAGTATAAATATACAGTATGCAAGAATAACAAATGTGATTCAAGCTTTCAACATAATATATTCATTTTGCTTCAAGAAGTGCGTGGTGTGCATTTCTGGAGCTTAACAAGGCTGACAGCTAGGAATGTGTATGTGCTACAGTAACACAGTAATACAGTAATATCGGAGAATACAGGATGTCTCAGTCTTTCCTTCACATAACTCTGTGTGATATTCAGACTTTAAAGGAGAACTATGGGGTTAAGTCTTTTCCCAATAGTTCTTCTTAGGGTAATGGGAGGACACAAACTAGCATCCTCCCGTCACCCTAGGCTCAGTATACCATGAGCTGCTGCTCGCGGTATACTGAGACGCTGAAGCGGATGCTGACAATTGTGCCGGGATCCGCCCAGCTGCGTGACTGACAGCTGGCTCTGCCTATCTAACTAACCTGTGACAGTCTCATTGTCACAGGTCGGCTAGAACTACGAGGTGAGTGAAAAGCACTCACCTCATAGTTCTCCTTTAAGGCAGTTTGGATGCTCTGTGCTAAACAAACTCAATACATTTTTGTTGAAATCACACTAAGCAAATAATCACATGGTATACGTGCATAAAGAAAAAAGGAAGTAAGGAATGAAACGCAAATTAAAATAATGCAGTCACAGTGACGTTGTATTCATTAGTTAAATAGGACACATAACGCGGGCTGTTCAAAACACAGAATTTTGTAATTAAGAGGCACTTTGAATTCCTTCAAATTAATCACTCTGCATGCAGATTTCTATGTCTGCAAACATACCAACCAAAATGTCACATAAAACATGTGCACAGAGGACCTTCCCAAGAAGAGAATGCAAGCAGGCAGGGCTCTGTGTGATCTCTTGACAGAAGTGCCACATTTACAATTAGGTTTTACATCTTTCTTTAATTTTGCCTGCCTGTTGACTGTTGACCAATCGTAACACCAGAAGCAGAACACTAATTTTGAAGGTGGAATCAGAGGCAGTACATTTCTATCATCACACAGCCATCTACTCCTCCTCAGACTCTTGAAGTGCAAATTAAGCCAAACTTTTTTTTTTTGGGATAGAGTGGAGAGGGATTAGAACTCCTGTTAGGTTTTTATTGTTGTCTGTGTCTCTCTCTATTTGTTCAGGTGACTGTTATCACTGAAAGTGAAAGAAAATCCCAAATTTTGAGTTGTCATCAGAACAGATGGCAAGTCTTCAAATGAGGACACTAGTTCTGATGTCCCTGCTGACCACCAGGGGTTTCCCTCACTTTGGAGGGATTTCATCCTACTTCATGTGAAGGGAAATCTCCTCAATGTTAAACAGATTGCAAAAATAAAGCTGACAGAGGTTTTAACCATCTCTTACGCAATCAAAAACCCAAAAAATGTTTTGGCTTCAGTTCTACTTTAATTAGAGAGCTGCAAAGTCCAGCAAACGTTCATAAAAACAGTGATCTGCCTCCAATGGTGATTTCTGGAAAAAGGGTTGGTGTGTAGAAAAATGTAATGAGACATGTGTAGAGGCTACCAAGCTGGCCTTTGAAAATACAAGTTTTATTGGCTGCATCTATTTTGCAGAACCCCAAAACCAGAACAAGCATGTTATAAATGTTTGTCAGAATTCCTTATCTCTATAACTGTTCTTGGTTTGCTGCTCAGACAACACTCAAACCAAAACATCAGTATAATGGCCAGGGAACTATCATTCTTAAAATGAGAGGCAAGCAATGGCAGCCTCCATCATCTCTCATGACAGGATCCTTTTAAATTGGGTAAGGCCTCAGAACTAATAGGTAAAGAGATACTCTCAATAGTTGGTTCAAATAATCATTTAGAGAGCCTAGGGCACCATATATCTCCATACAGAGCTCTGTGCCTTCATTGGCATACAAGAGCAGTGCCAAACAATAACCAGGTCAGCACTCGCTGCCTTCAGTCTTTAGCACATCCGCAAAAAAAAAAAAAAAGT